CATGTCCGAGTACGGCCCGGCCGCGCCGCGCCCGCTCCGCGTCGGCTTCTACGACATCGAGCGCACCCTGGGCAAAGGCAACTTCGCCGTGGTGAAGCTGGCCCGGCACCGGGTTACCAAGACGCAGGTGGGGCTGGGACTGGGGCAGCCGAGGGGTTGCACCCGCTGCGGGGTGGGACGGTGCAAGCCTGGGGTTAGGCAGGCTCGCCCATTCCGCAACGGACGGGGGCAGACAGGCTCCCCCATGCAAGACTGGGGCAAAGCAGGCTCTCCGGTGCCATAAGGGATAGGGGTCGGCAGGCTGCCCCGTGCGGTAAGGGATGGGGTTAGGCAGGCTTTCATTTCCCACGCAAGACTGGGGTAAGGCAGGATGGGGTTAGATAGGCTCTCCCCCGTGCTGTAAAGGACAGGGTTAGGTGGGCTGACCCATGCAAGGCTGGGGTTAGGCAGGTACTCCTGTGCCACAGGGGTCGGGGTTAGGCAGGATCCCCCATTCAGTATGGGATGGGATTAGACAGGCTCTTCCATAGGGTTAGACAAACTCCCCCGTGCACTAAGGGATGGGGTTAGACTGGCTTTCCCCCTGTGCAAGACTGGGGTTTGGCAGGTAAGGGACTGGGTTAGGCAGGCTCCCCGGTGCAAGACTGGTGTGAGACAGGCTGTGCTATGTAGTAAGGGACAGAATTAGGCAGGCTCCCCCATTCAGTAAGGGACAGGGTTAGACAAACTCCTCCATGCAGTAAGTCATGGGGTTAGGTTTTCCCATACAAGACAGGTTGGATAGGAGAGGGACAGAGTTAGACAGGCTTTCCTATGCTGCAAGGGACAGGGTTAGGCAAGCTCCCCCGTGCAGTAGGGATGGGGTTAGACAGGCTTCCCTGTGCAGTAAGGGATGGGGCTAGTCCAACTCTCTTCTTGCAGGAGACCATAGTAAGGCATGCAGAATCGTAGCCTGGCTCCATCCCACAGATCCCACTAACACGGCTGTTGGTGGAGCGGGGGGACTCTGCATTTTAGGGGAGCCCCAGTGAGGGTAAAACGAGTTGGACATGCAGCCCTGTGTTGTGACACTTCAGTCCCCTCTAGCCCTACTTCTCTGGGGCTGAATTGTTTAACCCCCCTTTACCTCCCCTGGGGCTTTTTGAAGAGCTGCCTGGTGTTTTGCAAATTTAAAGCCAGTTCTGGAGTTTAAGGCAGCATAAAAAAGTGCCCCGTGGAGACGGGAGGCGTGCTTGATTTCGTTAACAAAATTCGGGAGCTGTTCAGAAGCAGTCGGTTCTGCACGTTCTTAAAATCCAGATGAACATTGGTTTCATTAGTGGGTTTGTGAACTGGACTCGGTGACGGGTTTCCAAATCGGACCAGACAACGTAGAGGAAAGTAGATGGGAGGAAACTGTCGGGCATCAGCAGGAGATGAGTGCTATGCCTCGGCTGTGTCTTGAGTAAGCGCTGATGTCTGCAGTTCTGTTCTTTCCCTCATGTAGGCTTTTTGCACGGGGTGTAAAGAAAATAAAACGTACTGCAGTTTGCAAGAAGTGAAATCTGTTTTGCAGCCCTGAAGTTTTTAAAGATGTATTTGTACTGTGAAAGATTCTGGTAGCTGAAGTAAATGGCTGGATTTATGTTTTTAAATCTGCAGGTTGCAATAAAGATTATAGACAAAACGAGGTTAGACCCAAGCAACCTTGAGAAAATTTATAGAGAAGTTCAGATAATGAAGCTTTTGAATCACCCTCACATTATCAAGCTTTATCAGGTAAGAGATCTGTTCTGATCCCTGCATGCATATTAGATGTACTTGTCTACCATGGCTTTGGTTGCTACTGAACTTACCTTGCATGTGGTTTTAAATCAGATGTTTGCAGGGAAGGAATTCACATTTCTGAAGCATTTAAAAGAGAAATAAATAAGCATTGTTTTTAAGTTTCTTTAGCGTTCCTTGAACACGTACAGTACGGTTTGTCTGAGGTGGTTTTTAATTTTAAATTATTAAAGAGCATTTGGTCAGAATTGCCCAAAGTTAGTTTCAGATTGAAGTTATTGGCTATTTGTGTTTCCTTGGTAAACTAGCTGGGTTTTTTTCCCTAATTTTTTTAAAACTTTAGTTGATTGCCTATAGTATCTGTTTTATCTGTGAAGCTAAATATACATTTTTAGCCTTGTTTAAAGTCTGTAAGTCTATAAAGTACATAAAGTAATATACATTTGTCTGCCCCTCATGTACATCATAAATGGAAAGCTTTTAAAATATTTGTAAATTTAATGAAAATTCTGTTACACACTTTTTTTTCAAAAGAGAACTCAAATATCTTGAAGTCTCAGACAGAAAATAAATGTATTTTGTTTCACTTCTGTTAGTTCTGAAACCTGATAAAAATGTTCTCCTATGTTTTTCTGCACATATTTTTTTTTAGTTTTGTTCAGTTGTGTTTCAGTACATATTTAAATACAAAATAGCGTTGTACAGAAAACAGGATCACAGCTGCCTGGTGAGCAAGGGCTGCTGTGCAAATACTAAATGTTTGTCCTGATTGGCATTTGGTGCAAGTTCCCTGTAATCGTCTTAAACAGTGCTGCGGGGATTTGCAAAGATGGGATATCGCAATAAGTCAGGGTCTACTTGTAAAGGGAAGAGGAGCAGGTGACTGGATTAAGAAATCTAGAAGCAGGTCTGGAATTTGGTGGGAAGTAGCAAGTACTATTATCAAAGGACTCTTTTTTGGAAAGCTGTAATTAACACGTAAGGTAGAAGAGCCAGTAAGGCAGGTACTTCAGTGAAGCATTATTTTTAAAGGGTTTGGCACACCAAGAGTACTTGACATTTATATTCCAAATACTTTTTGTTTTGATGGTTAGTACCTGACGTCACTGTTGCCCATAGGACCGTTCAGGATACAAAGACGCTTCGTAATATTATTGGTAATTTCACTTTGGTGAAACAATGCAAGTGAATGTGGTGCTACCAGGCTTTAGAAAATCAGTTTAAAATTCCATGTTGTTGAACCAAATCAGTTAACCAAACATGACATAGGTAGCAAATCAAAATTTCTTGTCAGTTGAATTTTCTTTTTCATTGTTGTTACTGCTTTACCTGTTCAGTGGAGTCTGAGAAGTAGGGATGGAATGAAAAGACATATCGGTGTAGGGTGTGTGTTCTTGTTCTATTTCATCATTGTTTTAGTTTCAACACAGCATTGCATTTTTGTGCAGCTGGCCTCTTTCCCAGAATACTTTTATTTGGTGCTTTTCTTTTTTTTTTTTAAACTGGAAGCCTCTCTTCCTTTTCTTTCTATTTTATTTATTTTTTCATTATATTATGTTTGTACATGGAGAGAAAAATATAAGGACTCTTATCTGTTTGGCACTCCAGTCATTGTCTTTTTTTGTCTTTTTTTTGTAGAAGGTTGAAAATTTAGAGTATTGACAGCTGCTTGGTTACTAATGTTTTATAAACTATACTACCGTAGGAGCAAAGAATGCAATTATTTTTCCCACCTAGCTGTTCAGTATTTTAGCGTATAGCAAATGCTTCAGAAAGATTTAAACTAGTAACACATTTTAAAAACTAAATCAATGCCAGATCAATAAATGAACTTTTGACTACATATTGACAGTTGCTATCAACGCATATCGAGCAATACAGTTGCACAGACAGCAAGCTATTGTTACTGGCCAGGCAGAGCTGTCATCTTCCGTGGTTATTTATCATATCCAATACCAAGTGGGAGTCAGATATTTGATATTGCCTCTTCAGGTTTTTTTTCTGCATGTAAATATCAGCTTTGCTGTCCCTACGTGCTAGTCTTTCGTAGAAGGTCCTTGAATTTTGGTAGCCTGTTTTTAAACTTAGTGTCCTTGAATGATCTGTGCTGATTACTTGAATTACGACTACTTTTTTACCAGTGCAGCAACAAAAAAGATTCCATAATGGTATATAAAATTGAAATACTCTATTAATCTATTTTATGGAAATTAAATGGCATGGGGGAGAGAAGAAAAAGAAATGTAGGAAGCAATTGTGTGTTAAAGGGACATAAATACAAATTTATCTTTCTGAATTACATCTTATATGGAAGGAGTACTGTGATGCCTTTACTGCCTATAATAGTTGTAGATAGTTGGACTGATAAGTTCTAGATTCAACCCCCCATCCTTCCCGCCGCGTGTGCACCCCCCCCCCTCCCTCCAGTTGTTTTCAGGGATCTGGTTTAGTAACATGACCTCCCTTCTGTCTTGACAGGTTATGGAGACAAAGGACATGCTTTATATTGTTACTGAATTTGCAAAAAATGGAGAAATGTTTGGTAAGTTCTCATTTCCACAAATAACAGTTCTTTTAGTTTTAGAAAGCATTCCCTTATTGCTGACATTCATGTAGGGTATTAATGTTTAGTTGGATATCAAATACCAAGAAGTGAATGCAGCTTCTTCAGGATAATGAAAACTTAACCTATCTGTTTAATTCTTGTGCTTATTGATATGATCCTGCAGATCATTTGACTTCCAATGGGCATTTAAGTGAAAGCGAAGCTCGGAAGAAGTTTTGGCAGATCCTTTCAGCAGTGGAATACTGTCACAGCCATCACATAGTGCACAGAGACCTCAAAACTGAGAACCTCCTCTTAGATGCCAACATGAACATCAAGTTAGCAGGTAAGACAGTTAAATAGTCACTGTATAAGCCATGGAAAACATGATATATTACTGAATGTTACTTCTCCAGTGTGACAACTGGATTATCCTATAAGTGCATTAAAAAAAGACTTAAACTCAGTATTTCTCTGAATTATATCTACTTTTCAAGGAAAAAAAAAAGCTAGGCAAAGATCCTCCATGAAATAAATCCACTCTCCCTCCCTTTTTTTCCCCTTTGGTTTTAAAGTATTAACCTGGTATGTAATGAAGAAGTCTTACTTTGGATTCTTGCTTTCACCTCAGACTTTGGGTTTGGAAACTTCTACAAATCAGGAGAACCCCTCTCTACCTGGTGTGGAAGCCCACCTTATGCAGCTCCAGAGGTTTTTGAAGGCAAGGAATATGAAGGCCCTCACCTTGATATCTGGGTAAGCTTTGGGCTCCACAGTGTTCATGTTTTTATGCTTCATTTAACAGTGGGTTTTCATGACTGCTGCCTATTCTTTGGTGACTTATGCGCTTGTGCTGTTTTCTGTTGACAGAGCCTTGGTGTGGTGCTGTATGTCCTCGTCTGTGGTTCTCTCCCTTTTGATGGACCCAATTTGCCAACCCTGAGACAAAGAGTGCTGGAGGGACGATTCCGCATCCCCTACTTCATGTCCCAAGGTACATTTCCTAGAACCTTAGCACTAGAAAAGGGGTTGCTAGCAGGAGGGTGATGAATAATCTTCTTGCATAAGCATCTTTTCTTCTTTTTATCTTTCGTGCAGTTGCCCAATACTTTCTCTCTCTTGTGGCTTTCAAGCACAGTTTCTTTCTTACTGTACTTGTAGCATAGCATATATCTGTTACATAACATAGACCCAAACAGTTACCTTTTCCTTTCTTAGAATATCAGTATGGGTTGCTAAAATGATGATTCATCCATACCCTAGCTGAGGAAATGACCTTTAAAAAAATAAACACCAAAAAAGGTGTTAATGAAGTCGAACATGGTATTCTAACTAGGCACAAGGAGTATATTTTAAAATGTGACATATGCTATTGAGAAGATCAGAAGTAGTGAGACCTATCATTTCGTTGAGTTTATTTTATTTTTACAAGACTCTTAAAAAGAACTGATGTCTGTTGTGAAGTGTATTTTAACTCTTCC